TTTGAACCACCTACCTTCTGGTGAGCATCACAATGCCTAACCACAGCACCGCCAGAGCTCCGTGTGTCTGTGTGTGTGTATACACACACACACACACACACATATAAATCTAACCTTCACAGCTTTCTTTTTTAAGGCTAATGAAAGGACTACAATTCAACTTTTGTTCTTCCAGAAGTCTTTGTTAAGTAAGGGACCATATACCACAAATATAGGAAGAGAAGTGTGGCTGTCTGGGGTTAAGCTCGAGGCCTTGTGTCTTCTTCAGGTGAATAACAAGGGAAGAGCGTGGGAGGGTGCTGTGCCGGGGATGAGGAACGCTTGGCTGCAACTCTGGCATGCGGCTGGCGGCCAAGCACCACTTCCAGTTAGGAAGCTGATAACAACATCATCAGAGCTTTTGGCTTTGTTGTTGTTGGGTGCCGCTGAGTCGATTCTGACTCACCGAGGCCCCCGGTGACAGAGCAGAACTGCCCCGGAAAGTGTTCTAGGCTGTAACCTTCACGGGAGCAGGTTGCTGGGTCTCTCTCCCACTGAGCCACTGGGTGGGTTCAAAGAGCCAACCTTCTGATTAGCAGCCAAGCACTTAACCGCTGTGCTACCAGGGCTCCTTTCCAATTAGGAACTTGATAACAGCGCGCTCAGACTTTTGCTTCAGACGCATCACCTTGTACTCCCATGTTCGGACTGGTGTGTTTATGTCCAACACTAACAAGCACAAAATGAACCAAGCAGCCAATCAGCATGAAAAACGGCTGCTTGGTTCCTCCCTTTTAAAGGACCTCCTTCTGAGCCTTCCTAAGTCCCATGACCTCCAACAGTGAGGAAGTCAGAAACTACTTGTCAAGATAACCACAAACCTAAAAGGAGGGAAGCCCATCTGTGCATAAAAAGTCTTGATGCTCAAGAGTCTATCTATTCACCGCAAAGGTGCCTAAAGTTCAATTCTGTTCAGGAAGCCAACGTGGACGACATGGTGTGCTCCAGACGCCGGGACCTCGGGCCAGGCACAGTGCATGGGCTTCTCCCAAAGGGCCAGACGCTGCCTGCAGGTGGGGCCAGGATCTCCACTCAGCCACACGGACCCAACACCTGGCTGAGGTGGTCCCGAGCCCAGCCCAAGGTGGAAGATTCCAATCACAGGCCACCAGAGGGCCATGGCAATATACACCAAACCAGTTAGGTACCATGGAGCTGATTCCAACTCATGGAGAGCCCACGTGTGTCAGAGAAGAACTGTGCTCCACAGGGTTTTCAATGGCTGATTGTTTTCGCAGTATAGATTGCCAGGCCTGTCTTCTGAGGCACCTTTGTTAAACCTGCTGAAAACCACAGCTACCAGGTAAACAGGATCCGGGCTGTCTATTCCTCTTACAAAAATGAAGGAGGAGAAACAAGAGGAGGGGTGAGGAGGAGGAGGGAATATGAAATTACAATCTCATCAGCAAGGCTTGCTTTTTATACTTATTTCCAGTTTTAAATACTGCAACTCATCTCTAGGCATTTTTCCTAAGGAGACAGCTGAACGATGCACAAATACGCATGCCCACGGCTGTTCGTTTTGGTGTGTTGTTGTTGTTGTCATTAGGTGCTGCTGAGTTGGTTTCAACTCGACCCTGCGTTAACACAGAACAAAATGCTGTCTGGTCCTGTACTCTCCTTACAATCAGTGCTATATTTGAGCCCACTGTTGCAACCACTGTGTTAACAGTAGTGCTTCTAACGGACAAAAACGGGAAATGATTTAAATGTTCATCAGTGTAGAACTGGCTAAATAACTTATCCAACACCCATACCCTACTTTCAAACCATTTTTCTTCCTTAACATGCTTGAAGAATTAAAAATACATGGTCATTTCAGTAGCTGGAAGTCCCTGAGTGGTGCAAACAATTAAAGCTCTCAGCTGCTAACTCAAAGGGTGAAGGTTCACACACATCCAGAAGCACCTCGGAGGAAAGGCCTGGTGATCCACTCCTGAAAAACCAGCCAGAGAGAACCCTACGGAGTCACCATGGTGACAGGGTCACCGTGAGTTGGAGTCAACTCCATGGAAGCAGGTTTTTATTAGAGGTGAAGCCACGGCAGCGCTTCTCCAAGTGGGCCTGAGCGTAATCTGGAATCCACACCCACCCCAGGCATTTCTCACTATCCCCCTCCCAACCTCTCCAGAGCCCTTCCCCTACAGCACACATTTAAGAATCTCATGCAAGCAATGGAACACTATATAGTTGTGAAAAATGACAATACAGATGTATATTCAGTGATGTGGAGCTGGGTGCACCATCTTGCTGAATAATGGAGCAGCTTATGGAGAACATGTTTCCTACGACCACATTTATGGTGTCAATGGCTGGCTCAGTGTCAAGAGCCTATGCAGTGTTAACAGTCCCGTCCTCTGGGTGGTAGGATCTGGGATGACTGACACTCTCTTATTTATATTTTCCATATACTTTGAATAACTTTACAAGATACGATTTTTTAATACCAGAATAAGAAATGAAAAAATAAAGCACTTACATTCATAATGAAGGACTCTTGGTGGCGCTGTGGTCATAAGCACTCAGCTGCTAACTGAAAGGTTGGTGGGTCACACCCACCAGCCCCTCTGTGGTAGAAAAGATGGGACAATCTGCTTCTGTAAAGATTACAGCCTTGGAAACCATATGGGGCAATTCTATTCTTCCCTACACAGCTGCTGTGAGCTGGAACTGACTTGATGGCAACAGGTTAACGGGTCCAGTGGTGCCATGTTAAGTGCTTGGCTGCTAACCGAAAAGTTGGTGGTTCAAACCCACCCAGTGGCCATCTGTTCCTGTAAAGATGACAGCCTAGGAAACCCTGTGGGGCAGGCAGTTCTGCTCTGTCATATAAGGTCACAGTGAGTTGGAATCAATTCAATGACACCTAACAACATATTCATCATTAAATATGTTAAAAAACAAAGTGTTTGTTTAAAAAAAAAAGTCTTTTCAAAGTGAACTATTAAAGTCAAATCTAGTTATAACAAACATCTCTGCCCAGCAAACTCATTTCTGCACCTCAAGCCTCAGACCATCTGTCATAAGTGACAGCCAACACGATGAGATTTCAAGACAACAAAGGAATTTATATGGTATCTCAAAGCACCCTCAGGTCTCACTGAAGAAATATCTGAAATCCTGCGCTTTCTATCATTCTTTCAACGAGCAAGAACCTGGTTCTTGGATGTAGTTTTTATAAAGGTGGGGTGGGGTAGGATAGAGCAAACACTTATTTTCACAGAAAGTATAAATACATCTTTTATAAAACACTTTACAATACGACTAACACAAATGAAAAGAGCCCACTGTTAGTTTGGAAATGTCAGCAAAGAGAAGAAAAATGAATTGTGCAATGTGACTACGTAAAGAAGAAATACCAAGGACATGGACAGCACTGTGTAAGCCTCACACAGTGACCCTGTACATTACTCATTAGAATATTATTTCAAATTAGAGCATGTAAAACACTGCACAGTTCAAAATATTTCACTTTCAATTCTCATTCTGCGTTTTGTTTTTTTTTTCCAGGAAAATTCAAAGGCAGGGGAGCAGTGGTGACCACAACCTATCATGAGAAACAAAAGATCAGCAACTTGTTACTTTCTGTTTTGTGACAGAGACAAATTAGCTTGCCATTGAAAAGAAAACCTTACTCACATTAACGAAGGCATGCCAAGTGATAGAGACAAAGTAATGTCAAATTTGACCACAGGATAGATTTGAGGGGTATGAGTTCTCTAAACATGTCTCCTTTGCAAAAGGGGTTTTAAAAGTTGGCTTACCCAGCTACTAAGACGTATTTTCCATCTGCTTGGCCTGTCAGCCTTTCGAGCACAGACAACCGTACTTTGGCTTTGCTTTTGCCATAGATTTCAATTTCATCTGTAAGCAATCCTATCTCTCTGGCAAGGACATCCACAGCTTTTGGAGTCTGTCCTCTTGAAATCTCAATATCACTGGAGGGAAAACACATAAGAGGCAACAAGAGTCTTGTCAGCTTAGGTGGTCGCCACTAGAGTGAAAAACAACCACTGGTCGTGCCAACAACAAAATTAAGGCAATTGTTCTTTGGTCCTTTCTCCGAAGCAGTATTTGGCACAACTGCTAACAATTAATGTGGATCAGAACACAATGCATTATTTTAGAAAAGCAACCCTGAAAACTCCACAAAGGTCCTAGAATTCTGTGGGGACATGATGCCCATCCACAATGATAACCCCTCTGCCATAGGGCAAGGACTTAGCCTGTCATAGAGCAAAATGTGTTCTATGGGCCATTGCTGTGTTTGATAACCATGAGCAGAAGGGCTTCTGCAGAATGCTCTCTGATTAGACCAGCCACATTTGTCTCCTGGTTATTCAAAACTGTGGCAATGCAATTTTGTTTGTGTCCATACTTTCCTTCCTAGTTCAAGTCCAAAATCATGGTTCAAAATATTTGATTAATTACGTAACTGTTGGTAAAATGATCTACTGCTCCAAGTTCAACTACAGATGTAGGACATTTTAGTAGCTCCAGAGTTTCTCTGGTGGTATAGTGCCTATGGCATTTGACTGCTAACCAAAAGGTTAGCAGTTCAAACCCACCAGCCTCTCTGTGGTAGGAAGACTGGGTGATCTACTTCCATAAAGATTTACTGCCTTGGAAACCCAAAGGGTGTCGCTAGGAGTTGGAATTGACTCAATGGCAATGAATTTGGTTTGGTTTTAGAGCGTTGCTGGGCAAATGCTTACACTGTTTGGTTTTACTGCCAAGATGAGGACCTCACCACTCATCCTGCTGGAGGAGTATGAAAATCAGTCAGTAATGATGATCTCAGTAAGGATGAGAGTGCTTTTTGGGGCTCCTCTGTGCAGTCATTTCTTTTACTGGAGTTCAGTCCATCACCTGTCTGGCAAGCCATCTGTGTGAGAGGACTGGAATACACACTCAAGCCCGGGGCCGCAAGGCTAGACCAGAGCCTTGAGCACAGGACAGGAGGCACGAGAACTGCTCCGAAGGGTTCCACACTCAGGAAGCCAGCAGAGTCAGGACTCAGCCTGAGGACTGACATTGTGAGACAGGAGTCTTTGCAGTGGGCTGCAGAGCCACCGTCCCAGAGCACACAGCACCCCTGCTCGAGTCTTACTGCTGATAAATCAACCGTCAGCCCTGTTGTTGTTGCTAGGTACCCTGAGTCAGCACCAACACCCCAACACATGGTGAGCTCTGGGCACAATGGAACGAATGGCTGCCTGGGCTGAGCCATCCCCATGGCCGGTGGCAGACTGAACCGCAGTGACCCACAGGGTTGTTACCAGCTGATTCTCAGAAGTAGATCACCAGGCCTTTCTTCCTGCTCCACCTTAGCCTGCAAGTTCTGCCAAAGCCTCTTGAGCATCACAGCGATACGCAAGTCTCCGCTGGCAGACAGGTGTGGCTGTGCGTGAGGGCACCGGCCAGGACTGAACCCAGGTCTCCTGCACGGAGGCTGAGAACTCTACCACCGAACCAGCACTGCCCGCATTCTCAGCCCTGATGACAGCCTCTTTGCTCCTCCATGACCCCACGGTGATCTCCTATTGGTCTACAAGGTAACAATAAACCGACCTCAAATGCAGGCTTCTCCAAAAAAAGACAAGACCTGCTGGGAGGGGGAGAGGATGGCTTGGGGCCAGGATGTGGGGCTGAGCTCACCGCCTCCAGGCCAGAGAACCCTGTTCCCCGCAGCCCTCCACTCCCATTCCTCCCTAGCTCCCCTCCACTTATACTTTTCTATGCTTTTACTTCATTTTTCCTTTAGGGCTACAGCTTTCCTGTTTCCTTCCCCCTATAAGCTCCTAAAATGAAGTGTCCATATTTGGAAAATGTCCAAGGTTTTTTCTTCACTAGTTAAGGAGCCCCAGTGACATCTTTTTGATTTTTGGAGCAATTTATACATGAGTCAGCCCGTCATTCTTTCAAATGTGGTCAAACGAGTCAAGCACTGTTGCCCCAACTAAAACTTATTCTGGTTCATACAAACACTTTGATGCACAAATTGGTGGTGTCTTCCCTCATTCATTTGGCTCTCTATAAAGAGAATTTATTTCAAACTGAGGCCCTATACCAGCATTAACTTCAACTAAGCTAACTTTACAAAACAGATTACCTAACTACCGGGATGATGCCACAGAATGCTATTCCTCACTGGGCTTTGTGTATCAACGACCCCAGGTGACTCAGATGTTTAGTCTGTTTCAGAGGAGAAAACCTACTGGAGGGTTCCCCTCGGCCAGGGGGTCAGGACCAGACCAGAGCCTTCAGCAGACTGCCTCAGGAAAGAGGTCAGTTCTAAAAGGCAACTGGTTATCAAGTGAGAAATCAGTCAATGCTGGAGGTTTTACCAACTGGACATGGGTCACCTGGAGATGCTCTGGGAATAGGCAGCCCTCGATAAAAGGCTAAAGCATGTCACTGGGTCACCACAGAGGCCTCTGACGATAGACCAGAAAATGCACTTCTCTGTCTCAAATGTCCTATGTAATTGATTACCTAAGTCACACGCTGCAACTGGGTCCTGCAGCTTATAGTTCCAGATTTATAGAGAGAAGATTGAGCCAAAAAAAAAAAAAAAACCAATCAGTTGCCATAGAGTCGGTTCTGACTCATGGCAACCCTATGTGGGTTAAAGTGGAGCAGTGCTTCATGGGGCTTCGATGGTGGATTTGGGGGAAGTACCACTCTAGAGAAAATAGCCATCTCAAATATCACGGACCCCACAGATAGTAGACATTTGTTTATTTTGAAGAAAGCTGAGCTCAGCTCTCACGTGGAATGATGTTGGGATTGGCTGGACATTTACTTCAGAGGAGAAACCTACCTTATCCTTAAGCCCAAGCCGACATATGGCAGCATTTCTAACACTGACAAGCATATTATGAATGCTGTATTACTGTGTTTGGTCAAATCTAAGACATCATTACTTTACAGACCACTAAGAAGAAAAGACATTGCCACTGAATATGTTGTTGTTGTTGTTAGGTGCCGTCAAGTTGTCTCCAACTCATAGCAACCCTGTGTACAGCAGAACGAAACACTTTCTGGTCCCGTGCCGGCCTCACAATATTTGCAATATCTGAGCCCAGCATTGTAGCCACTGTGTCAATCCAACTTGTTGAGGGCCTTCCCCTTTTTCATTGACCCTCCACTTTACCAAGCATCATATCCTTCTCCAGGGAATGGTCCCTTCTGAAAATACGACCAAAGCAGGTGAGACAAAGCTTGGCTGTTCTCACTTCCAAGGAGCATTCTGGCTGCACTTCTTCTAGCATAGATTTGTTATTCTTTTAGCAGTCCATGTACTTTCAGCATTCTTCACCAACACCGCACATAACTCAAAAGCATCAACTCTTCTTC